TGTGGAGAAGGTAAAGCAGAGAATCTCTGGCCAAGGAGGTATCAGATACATCTAAAGATAAGCTGCCACAACTCATACACAAGTGAGGGGATTACACAAGTGAGTAAAAAGCAGAGGAAGAGATTTTCCCAGAGTTCCTCTACTCAGCTCCCAGGACACTACCCTCCATGCTGGAGCCTTCTGCTCTGGGAAAATACAACCCACTCAAAGAAGAAAAACCTATAGGTACTGGACCTCAGACATTCTCCAACTGATTACCTAGAAAGATCACCCTTCAGGGAGACCTAATAAGACCTACTCATATACTTTAGGAATCCAATCAACTTTTTATCTCCCACTACAAAACAAGAATAGGTGTAGAAGCCAGTCTCCAAAATGGCCCCACCAATCCCTGATTCCTAAAAAGCATGTCCTTGTGTAGTCCCTTCCACCCTCCCAGGGCTAACGGGTGGGAGCTAGTAGAGATGATGATGTATGACTTCAGAGACTAGGTCATAAACGACTTTCTGCCTTGTTAGGTCATGGATCACCGGCACTGAGCAAAGTCAACTACTGTAAAATATTTAAATGCTCTATGGATAGATTCATGTGTCAAGGTAAGGCCTCCTGCCGAAAGCCAGCATCAACTTACCAGGATGTGAGAGAGCCCTTTTGGAAATGGGTCCTATAGTCCAAGTCAAGCCTTATGATGACCACATTCCTGGCTGACATTCTGATTGCAACCTCATTAGAAATCCAAAGCCAGAACCACCTAGCTAAGCTATTCCAGAATTCCTGATCCACATAAACTGTGAGATTCTATTTATTTATTTTTGAGACAGAGTCTCACTCTGTTGCCCAAACTAGAGTGCCACGGATAATCCTCCTGTCTCAGCCTCCAGGCCCCCTCTACAAAGCCCAGCTAATTTTTATTTTTCAAATTACTATGAGCATACAATTTTTTTAGTCACATTGTTTTCATTTGTAAGGTAAAGTGCAAGTTGTAGTTGAGTCCTTCACGTAGGGGGCATGCTGAACACCCTCACACTGTGCCATCAGGTAAGATCCCACCAATTGTCCACGTTCCTCTAATTTCTTCTATTTTTAGTAGAGATGATCTTGCTCTTACTCTAGCTGGTCTCAGACTCCTACCTCAAGGGATTTTCCTGCCTCGGCCTCCCAGAGCACTAGGATTACAGATGTGAGCCACTGCATCCATAAATATTTTTGTTTTAAGCCTAAGTCTTGGCGTAATTTGCTACACAATAGATAATTAATACAATAGCTCATTAGACATCTGGAATCCTTGTAAAGACAGAGGACAAATTAAACAAACCAATATTGTAAGGAAAAGAAAGTCTAACACTGTATACACACAGGTATACATTTGTATAGAGAGTAATATTCTTAGATAAGATACTGCAACCATAAAATAAGAATAGCATACTAGGGCTTGGCACCTGTGGCGTAATTTGCTACACAACAATAGATAATTAATACAATAGCTCATTAGACATCTGGAATCCTTGTAAAGACAGAGGACAAATTAAACAAACCAATATTGTAAGGAAAAGAAAGTCTAACACTGTATACACACAGGTATACACTTGCATAGAGAGTAATATTCTTAGATAAGATACTGCAACCATAAAATAAGAATAGCATACTAGGGCTTGGCACCTGTGGCGTAATTTGCTACACAACAATAGATAATTAATACAATAGCTCATTAGACATCTGGAATCCTTGTAAAGACAGAGGACAAATTAAACAAACCA